AGCGTCCCACTGGCTGCTGCACAGATTTGCAGGGCGGTCAGGCACTCTCTCCCATCGCCATCGCCGAATGAGGCCTTGTTGCTATTTCTGTTTTATGCCAGAAAACTGAGACTCAACGCTGACTCACTCCCCAAAGATAAGAGTCGTTAGCTGACTGTGAACGATGTAGCTCCCATTTATGTTTAACCTTCGTAATACTTTCTTTTCTTTTCCTTTTTCTTTTTTTTCTTTTAAGGAGACAGGGTCTTTCTATGTAGACCAGGCAGGTCTCGAACCTATAGAGATCCACCTGCCTCTCTCTCTCTCTGTCTCCTGAGTGCTAAAGACCTGTGCCACCACACCCAGTTCTTCATAATAATTCAACTCCGTATTATAAAATCATGGAATATCAGTATTGGAATGGTCCTCAGAGACCTATTATGAAACCACAGAATAGTCACTTTTTTTTTTGTTTGTTTGTTTGTTTTTCGAGACAGGGTTTCTCTGTGCAGCTTTGTGCCTTTCCTGGGACTCACTTGGTAGCCCAGGCTGGCCTCGAACTCACAGAGATCCGCCTGGCTCTGCCTCCCGAGTGCTGGGATTAAAGGCGTGCGCCACCACCGCCCGGCCAGAATAGTCACTTTTAAGGCATCATAGAACGCCTACATTGGAATGACCTGACCCCTCTCTACCATTGGAGAAGCTGATGGACAGAGAGAAGAAATAAACACTGCCGCTTCCACACAGCCTGTCTGTAGGACATGAAGAACACAAGAAGGGTAATGGAAGACAAGGAGCAACAGGGTGCCAGAAGTCAGAGGAGCCATTTGCCCCAGATTCAAACTCTCAGTGTCCTCAGGGACCCCAGTCTCCTGCACTTAGTTTGGGAATTCAGGCCCCCAGTACACAGCTGTTACTAAAAGCTTCTCAGGGTGACACATTGTCCCACCTCCTCCACTCTCCACCTCCATCACCATCCAGCTGTTTTTCACCTACTCTCTGCTGATCAGACCTTGACCTGTGACAGGCCAGAGCAGACCCAGGCACATGGAAGTGCCACCTCATCAGGTTCACCCCACCCCATGGGACCTTCAGAGACTACGAGGTGTCTTGTAGGGACTTTGTCACGGGGATGCCCATACCATGACATGGTTATCCAGCCACTGGAGAAGCCAGAACTCTCTCCCTGCCCCCAACTCTGACTCAGGAAGCCTAGACAGAGGGGATTCCTGAAACTTCTGTCTGCTGAGGAGGGAGAGGCAGGGTTCTACTTTAAGTAATAATGTCAGAATGAGACCAGCTTTGGCGTCCGGGAGACAATACTCAGCTTGCTGTCTCTGGGACTCTGTTCCTGACAACAGGGTCAGGTTTCCTGAAATGGTTCAGATTTTCCAGGCTGGCCCCAGCTGAGTTCCTGCCAGGGGAAGGCCTCAGTAAAGGAAGGGATGCAGATGGAGATAATGGAAGGGAAGTGTGCAGGCAGGTCAGGAGGGAAGTGGCTTTGCTGGTCACAGAGCTGAGTGTGTCCTGGGGTTTCTGAGGCAAAGCTATGGTGGCAGTCCTTGGCTTGGGGCCCACCTCTGTTCCCAGTCCAATGGTTCCTGCTTCCCTCCTCCCTCCTAGACTGAGATCGCCCAGTAGATCTCGTGTTAGAGCCTGCCAGCTGGGTCTAAACCAGGGAGGAGCAAGAGTGTTTCCAGCCTGGGAGGCAGCATACTGTGTCTTCCCCTTCTGGCTCTTTCATGGCCCCTCCTGTCTGTCAGAGCCTAGCTCAGCACTGATGATCTTGTTTTCAAGAGAAGACACAAAACTTTTCTTCGTGTTCATAATTATTGGGTCATTCGCTTTGTTCCTGCTTGACCAAACTGAACTGACTGGGCTCATAATTAAGCATTGCCTGGCTTGGAGAAAGGAAGCCCTTTAATGAACAGGGCTACCACAGCTAGACATAATGCGTTTTATTACAGTAAGCTAAAAGCCACTGAACTGGAAGGCGAGTTCTCTGTGGAGTCTTGGAAAATCCTCCCCTCATCAAAGTTAGACTTTTGCTTTATTCTGTTCTATGCTTGATTCCACCGAAAGTGAATACAGATGAAAGTTCCTTAACCGGAAAACAGCATGGAAACTTGGCTACAAGATGATGAGCACCCGTGCATATTTTCTTTGTATTTTAGAATGGTTGATGTTGTGCCCTGGGCGCAAGACCCCCAAAGAGACCACCAGAGACACAAACTCACCGAAATGCAAAAGCAAGGTTTACCTCAATTCAAGCCTCAGCAGGGACCTCGGTCAAGCACTCTGACACAGTGGAGGCTTGAGGAGGTGCCAGCCCCTCTGCAAGCTCAGTTTTTAAAGGCAAAAACCACAAGGCTACATCATTTAGGGGTACGAGTACAGGTACAATTCTGATTGGCTCAAGTTTTAGGGGCTTTTCAGAATTTCTGTGTTATCTTACTTTGCAGTTTTAACCGGTTGTTTGTCAAACTTTGTAGACTACCTCTGGCATCGATGCATTCTGTGGTTATTCAATTGTTACCAGATAGTCTCTCAAACATCCTGACTTGGTACTTTTGACCATCTCCGGCATTGGGGCATTCTATGGTTAGTCAGTTGCTACCAGATGGCTCTTCAAACATCCTGACTTTGTCCTGGGACTTATGTCAGCCGCTCTGAGAATCTTGAAACTCAGGCCTGTTTCAAGGTGGGATGAGGGGCTTGCTTGAAATGGGGGTGCTTTGGTTCTTCAGTTGACTGAGTTTATTCCTCAATGTAGCCAAAAGATCTCCCTCCCTGCCCCTCCTGTGGAGGTGGATCCTGGAGGAGGTCACCTGGACCAAACAACACAAGTGCCACATTTGATAGTAGCTGTGTTCCATTTCCTGCCGGATGGCCACGAGATGGAATCTCCCAGTTTGGATTCTGTTTCTTGTTTTAAGCTCAAGGCAAATCACAAACACCATTTTAGAAAAAAATAGGGCCAGTTCAGCCAGTAAGGTGCCTGCTGCCAAACCTGACCTGAGCTTGATCCCCAAGGACCCACATGGTAAAGAGAGAACCAACTCCTACAAATTGTCCTCTGACCTACACACACACACACACACACACACACACACAATGAAATGTAATTTAAAAAATAAACATTGGACAGGATTGTCTGCCCGTCATTTTTGCTCTTGTTTGAAGATTTTATGGTGGTTGCTTGACCCGAGGTAGTTCATGGGAGGGGAAGAGCTCTAACTTTAATAACCCCCTTAGCACGTGGCTGAGTCGGTCGGCTTTCTGTCTTGGAATGGACTGCTAAGGTCAACAGCACTGGAGTTGCCATGGAGAGCAGAATCCTAAATCCTAAAATCCAAAGCTGGAAATGGCTCAGTGGCTGCTGGTTCCATCCTGACAGCCTAAGCCATCTACCCCAGGTCCACGAGAGTGCCCCACCCCAGCCTCTGAAAAATACCAGAGGTTATGACTTAATGACCACTGAATCAGTAGTGGCTCTTTGCCAGGAACAGCATAGTGTCCTTTTTCTCTTCAGGTAATTCCTCCCTGGGCTGGAAGATCACAGATTTTGCAGGGGCAACATTATCTGATCAAAATACAAAAAGTATTAGAAAGGGAGACAGAGTCCCAAAGGGTGCCAAGAACAAAGATTAATTACTCTCTGCCTGAAGAATAGCTTTGGTGCGCTTCTGTGAGACCCTGCTTGCTGCCCTTCAAAGACAGAATGCCGCAGAAGCTTGGGAGTGGCCAGGACACAGCACACGGCCTTTTCAGGACACAGCTTTCAGGAATCTCTAGGTGCTTCCTGACCCTTCAAAAAGGAGCCAAGTCCCCAGAATCGGGACAAGCAGTCTTTTTCAAGGCCCATGAGAGTAAAACTGGAAGAGGAAGAACAAGCCACGGCGACTTGGGGAGTGGTTAGCAAGAGATGGGAATCTTTGCTTTGGCAACACTGAATTTATCTTGTGCTGGCTGGAAATCACTCCGGTCTGGTTTTTTGTTTTGTTTTGTTTTGTTTCTTTTTGGCTTGATTTTGTTTTTCTGTAATTGAAAATTTTCCATACTTGTTCACTGGTTTGATTTGTAAATTCCTGAAAAAAGTAAGCAAAGTTTCTTTGCGTCAATTTGGCCAGATCCAGTTGCATTTTATCATTCTATCAACTCATGATGGGATAAGGAGTAGACTCTGACTCCAAACACAGAGGCTGGGGTGTTTCTGGGGGGGGGGGGGGGCGTGTTCTGAACACATCCCCGGCACCCTTCCCGCCTCCTCACATGAAAGTCACAGGGCTGGGTGAGGGGCCCGGTGAGTTACGACACTTGCCACCAAGCCTGAGTTGACTCCAGAGACCCACATGGTGGAAGGAGAGAACTGACTCCCACCGGCTGTTCTCGGACCTCCGCATGCGTGCTATGACATACATGTGTGTGTGCACGAGAGCACACGTGTGCACACACAATCAAATTAACACCAGCAACCCCCAGAATCCATGGGATGTGGGTCTAAAGGATTCAGGGAGAACATTAAATGCTTTGAAGTCCATGTGGTCATTGTTTCTAGAAGGAAAGCTACGCTGCTTGCATTTGTCCTGCTTTGAAATTTCTCAAATATGTAATTTTATTCTTTTATTTGATCATTTGTGAGGTCCGGACACTCCGCCTTTTGGTTCATTTGTGTCTATGCTACTCTCGTATTTTTTCAAGAAACTGGGTTACAAAAGGATTTTTATAAATTAACTGCTTCCCCATACACATGTTAAAGGTCAGGGCGACCAGTGCCTCTCTCCTCTGTTTGCTCAAGGACCAGGCTTCTAGCGGCTGCTCATCACATGGGCTAAAGTCAAAACTCCATGGGCCCCCCCAACCCGGCCTCATGCGTTTCTCCAGGCTCCTCTCTTCTTCTCTAAAACAATAGTTTTATTAATTTTTGAGAATGTTATGCAATGTATTTTGAGCATATTCATCCCTCCCTCTCTCCCCCGACTCCTTCCAGATCCACCCCCACCTCCCGACCCTCCCAACTTCCTGGGGTTTTTTTTCCCCTCTTTCTCTCTCCTTTGTTTTTAACCATCCCAGACTCTTTTCTTTCAGTGCACACTTCCTTTCCCTGTGTTCTCTGCACTGGTGTGCTCTCCTTCAAAAGGTGCCAGTGTCCCCCAAAACACAGAAGGTCTTGAATCCAGTATAGAGCACGTAACAATCTCAGTAACGCCTGACTGAGCCAGATGTGATAGTGTACGCTTACAGGCCTAAGCAGGAGGGAAACCGAGGTATTAGGACCGCTTAATCCAGGGAGTGCAAGGCCAGCCTGACTTACATAGTAAGACCTCACTTCTCAAAACAAAGAACACAGAACAAAGCCCCCACCTGGCTGACATGAGAAAAGACACTTGTAAACGTAGTAAACAAAGGTAGGAGAGATACACAAAAGTGAGTGGTCTGTGCTGTCTGTCAAATGTGCCCTTATAGAGAGGGTTCCGAACCTAAAAGGAAGAGAACGGAAGCCCCCTGTCCATCACCTCCTCCGTGAAGGAGCACACTTGTTAGTTTATATGAATTAGTGTCCCCAGCTCCCACCTTAGGGTTACTCCATTCAAGGGTCACTTCCTTCTGACTCCACAGGAGCCAGGTTGGTTCTGCCTCCATGAGATCCCCAGGAACTATCTGCATTTCTCCGTCTTTCTTGTTAGCGTTCTGTTGGAGTCCATTTCTCTCACAGTGGCCTTTTTGTCTTCCATTATTCTCCAACAGACAAACTTCATGAACGTGATGTCTGCCACAGAAGTTCTCAATAAGTATTAGGGAATTGGGGGAATAAATGAATAAATTATCTCAACAGCCCCTCTCCATAATGGCTTCCAATACATCTTTTTCATATCTCCAGAACATTCCAGGGCACAGAAGAACTGACCTTTCTGTCTCTCATACTTGGAAGTTTTCCGGTGTCTTGAATGAAAACTGAGGCCAAAGGAGACTGAGGGTGTGTCCTGGTAGTAGAATGCATGCTCAGCATGCACAAGGCTCCGGGTTTAATATCCAGTACCTTCCCTGAAAAAGAAACCCATGTGAAATAACGTGGCACCTGTACTACCGTCTCAGAGGCAATCAGATTATTCCTCCTGTCATTAACAGATTCCCTACTTGGGAGCCTAACTCTGTCCAAGATAGACCTGTAGTCAACATTAATTTTGCCTTAACTTTGTGAAAGTCTACCACACCCCTAATACTCTGGCAAACTTTTTGTGTGCATGTGTGTGTAGGTATATGGTATAGTACCTGCTCATGTCAGTATGTATGAACATGTAAGTACACATACGTATGATGCCTGTAGAGGCCAGAGGTTGACACTGGTTGTCTTCCTCAATCACTCTCTACCTTATCTTTGGAGACAAGGTCTGTCCTGGCTAGTGTTATGTCAACTTGATTCAATCTGAAGTCCCCCAAGAGGAGGGAATCTCAACTGAGAAAATGCCTCCATAAGATCAGATTTGTAGGCAAGCCTGCAGGGCATTTTCTTAATTAATGATTGACTTGGGAGGGCTCAGCCCATCATGGGTGGTGCCACCCTGGGCTGGTGGTCCTGGGTTCTATAAGAAAGCAGGTTGAGCAAGCCATGAGGAACAAGGCAGTAAGCAGCACCCCTCCATGGCTCTGCATCCATGATCCCTGCCTTGGCTTCCCTGAACAAACTGTGTGACTTGGGATATGTGAGCTAAATAAACCTTTTCCTCCCCAAGTGGTTTTTGGTCGTGGTGCTTCATCATAGCAATAGTAACCCTAACTAATAGTTACCTAATAGTTACTAATAGTAACCCTAACTAGGACATGGCCGCTCACTGATCCTGGAGCTCGTTGATTGTGCTAGGCTGCCTGGCCAATGAGCTCCTGGAATCTGCCCGTCTTTGCTCACCACCTGAACACTGGGTTACAGAATTACGTGGATACTGGGGATCCAAACTCAGGTCCTCATACTCGTGTAGAAGACACTTTGCTAACATGCCTCTGTTCTGAATTCTTGACACACTGTTCAGCTGTGCTGGTTAGTGGCAATTCCATTGGCCATGCATGGTTCAGAAGAACCGAGGATCGAGTTAGCATCCTTAAGTGTGAAATTACATTTCTTGATGAATTAGAATATAATTCAATTAAATCAATGCTGTGAGAGCTTGAGGCAGAGTGTAACCACAAGTGTTTCTGGCGCCCCCACCACACTCACTGAACTCTTCTTTCAATCTTTCCAGGCTCTGGGACCCAGCCAAGCACTTCCTAAGACAACTGCCTTGGGGAGCGATTAGACCAGCCTGGCTAGCTCTTAGGAGTCAGGTGATGTGGCAGAGAAGTCCTTTCACTCCTAAAGCAGGATTCACTTACTAGACATCCCATCCTGTCACCCCCAGCCCACCTTGGACTGCAGCCTCTGTCCTTACCATTATCCTCAGGCATCTCCATGTTCCTCTGCCCTTTCTGCTGCACATTCTGGCTCCATTCCTCGACACTAGACTACTTCTACGGGGACACTGTGCAGAATACATGGTAATAAATGTGGTATGGGCTGGCACCAACCAATCAGAGAGTAGCCATTGTATAAATATGGGGTTGTGCGATTCATGTAGGTCTGTACCGAGTATTAGTCTTTTATTTGGGGGGATTTTCTGGGAGATCCTGGGGTGGTTGAATGATGGAGAACATTTAGAAGGCAGCAGAAGAGTGAATTCCAGGGCTGGAGAGACGGCTCAGTTGCTAAGAGCACTTGCTGCTCTTCCAGAGGACCAGAATCCAGTTCCCAGCCCCTCATTAGGTGGCTCGCAATAGCATATAACTTCAACTCCAGAGGATCTGATGCCATCTTCTAGCCTCCTCTGGCACCTACATGCATATGTCCATTCGCACTCAGACACAGACAGACAGGCAGACAGACAGACAGACACACACACACACACACACACACACACACACACACACACACACACACATACACAGAGGCCAGCCTGGTCTACAGAGTTGAGTTCCAGGACAGCCAGGACTGCACAAAGAAACCCTGTCTCAACCCTCCAGTGCCCCAAAAGAACTTTGGTTCAGGTTTTTGTTTTTGTTTTGTTTTGTTTTATTTTCCCCCTTTTAAGAAACACTTATGACTATCCACTGTGTCCAGTGATTTCCTACAAGATGTGTGAGGTATTGTTTTTGTCTAGGGGTCTTGACCCAGTCTGCTTTCTCCAACAATTAAAGATTTAAAAGACAGGAAAGATCTCAGGCACAACAGGCAGTAACAGCTAACAAACTTTATTACAGGTTAAGAAGCACACGTTCTGGGCTGGAGAGATGGCTCAGAGGTTAAGAGCACCAACTGCTCTTTCAGAGGTCCTGAGTTCAATTCCCAGCACCCACATGGTGGCTCACAACCATCTGTAACGAGATCTGGCATCCTCTTCTGTGTACATAATAAATAAAATCTTTAAAAAAAAAAAGATGCACACGTTCTGATTAAAAAAAATCAGAAGCTATACCTGTGAAGTCTCAGCAACATGGATGTCTAAACATGAGCTAAACAAGGACAGTGACAGACGTGCTAAAGGATGGGAGGGGCTCAAAAGGCCTCAACCTTATACAAAGAACTGCAGGCAACTAAGGAAGGCTGAGAGCAGAAGACCACGTCAGCTGGTTGTTCACTAGCAAATGCTCAGCCCTGAGCACGCACGCACACACACACACACAAAGCAAAAGAAGCCATGAATTTGAAAGAGAGCAAGATAGGGTACATGGGAGGCTTTGCGGGGAAGGAAAGAGAAAGGGGAAATGATATAAATGATATAAAAATGCAAATGTTATTTTAAAAACATAAACACCATCCCTCATAATTCTGAAGGCTTTCCTGAAATCAAGGTTGTAGTGTAGGCAGAATACTCTGTCCTGCCAGCCAGCTCCCATCACAGTGTACAAAACAGTTATTCCACAACAGTGCAGGTGGGCCACACTCCTGGATGGTTTATTATTATTATTATTTTGTTTTATTTTTGGTTTTTGAAAAGGGGTCTTACTGTATAGCCCTAGCTGGTCTGGAACTCACTACATAGATCAGGTTGGCCTTGAACCTTTGGAAATCTTTCTGCCTCAAGTGCTGGGATGGGTGTCACCGTGACTGGCTGGGTATAGTTCTTTGTTGTTTCTTCCCAGCTTCTCCTGGGGGTGACCACAGATCCCCGTCACTTCTGCCTTGTTGTGATCTCTGCCTTTATCGTTGTGTAAAATTCTCCCTGTGTGTTTCTGCCTTCGTGTGGTGTTTCCCCTTTGGTGAGGACATCAGTAAGACTAAGTTAGGGCCTGTTCTAATAGCCTCATCTCAACCTGATTCAGTGTACCAAGACCCCAGGAAGGTCACATTCACAGGCGCCTGGGATGAGGGCTGCAATATACCTTTTAGGAAGACACTGTTCATCCCCTAACAGTTGGCTAGGATGTGAAGAGCAGGCAAATGGAAACCATGGTGTATATCGAGGAGCCATGTCATCTAGAGTCACACATGCAGCTGAATTAGTGATGACTGAGATGGTGGCGTCTCAGCTTGGTGGGTATACAGGATCTATGTTCAACAGCAATAAACCATGTCCAGAGCCAGGTCCTAAGCTAGCCACCTCCCCACACAAATGCCTGCATTCCTTGGAATCTCATTCTTGAGCGCCCAAGTGGTCATTTTAGACTCCTGATCCCCATCACTAAATCCACATAGCTCTGTCTCCCGAACATCTCCTAGCTCCCGCCTTCGCTTTTTCTGCTCCGCACTGTAGCACATCAGTGTCCTGGCCTCCTCTCGAGTCCTCCCAGCTTTACGTCCCATCGTTTCCCGTCCCTCCTGCATCCCTTTCTGCTGCGGTCGCTCAATGTTATCCGTTCAGAACTGTCTTCCCCGGGGGAGACGTCTGGCCAAGTGGTGAGTGGCTCCTCAGTGTGTGACGAATGAGGTGGCTTCTTGGTCTGCTGAGCACCAAACAGCCTTTCCTCTTCAAAGCATCCATCCCTGAGGGCAAGTGTTTGCTTCCCAGAGGACACTAGACTCTTGACTTGCTGAGTAGGAATAGATTTTTTTTTTAAATTTTTCAATGTGAATTCATAAATTAGTATTTCAAGTTTTTAAATCCTAGTTAATTTTTTCCCCCAAGATTTAAATCCTTTAACCACTCTCTACCTTCAGATTGAAACCTGAGCTCCTCGATGTGGTCTGTGGTGATTCTATCTGTGTAGCCGGAAGTTTCTCTGGTCCTGCCCGGCCCCACAGTCAGGACCAGTCTCTCCCACTCATGTCCTACAGCCGCTTGGACCAAAGTAAACGCACAGAGGTTTATATTACTTATAAACTGTATGGCCTATGGATCAGGCTTCTTGCTAGCTAGCTCTGATAACTTAACTCAACCCATTTCTACTAATCTATATGTTGTCACGTGGCCGTGGCTTACTGGTACTTTCACATCTTGCTTCACATCTCTGGCGGTGCTGATGTCTCCCCAGACTCCACCTTTCTCCTTCCTTTCTCTCTCCTTGGATTTCTTGTCTGGCTCTAAGCTGCCTTGACATAGGCAAAAGCAGCTTATTTATTAACCAAGGGAACAACATACATTCACAGCTTACAGAAAGACATCCCCCAGCATATCTGTCTGCCTATCTATCCATCCATCCATCTCTATCTATCAATCTGCCTACCTATCATCTATCTATCTATCTATCTATCTATCTATCTATCTATCTATCTACCTACATCTCACCTACCTATCTATCGTCTATCTATCTATCTATCTATCTATCTATCTATCTATCTATCTATCTATCTACCTATCATCTATCTACCTATACATCCATCTGTCTGTCTGTTCACAATCTGACCCTTGGCCACCTGCTTTCCCTTTGTCTCCCACACACTTGAGTCCTTTCCTGGGGCAATCTTTTCCCTGCTCTTCTAAATACAGTTTGGGATCTATTTCTGGATGAAGCCTTGCCCACCTCATCCCACATGCCCTGTTCTGCCCTGATTACAGCCTTCTAATCATATGTGATTT